AAATAATTTGGATATATCAACAAAGTTGAAGTGGTAAATTGGCCACCGTAACGATTACAAAAGCTGACGTTTCGAGCGTTAGCCCTTCGTCGGAGCGAAGGGCGAAGGGGTTACGGTGGCCAGTTTACCACTTCAACTTTGTTGATATATCCAAATTATTTCGTTACTCCCACCGACGCAGCCCCAAACAGTTTCTTTCGAAACTATCAGCCTTCCTTCATTCACAACGCTGAGAAGATATCGGGACCCAAGCGATCCAGTAAGATCCCTGATCACTTCACGTGCACCTCCGCCAACGTAATCTATTGCATGAATTGCACTTATTGCAAAAAGTTATACATTGGCGAAACAGGAAGACAACTAGGTGACCGATTCCGAGAACACCTTCGCGACGTAGAAAGGAATGACAAAGACGCATCCAAACCAGTCGCTAGACACTTTAATTTACCTAGTCATTCTAAACGACATATGGCAATCTGCGGTCTTTCCTTACATTTAGGCAACACAAAAGCCGCAAAACTCTTGAACAAAAGTTATACTTTCAAATCGGCACTCTTAATCCCACAGGTATGAACGAATGCTTTTCATTCCACTAATTTATTCGTGTTTTTCTCGTTGCTATGTTCCCACCAATGGCGTACCTCCGCTTCTATATTTAAACTCACATACAACCCAAAATTCCTCTATTTGCTCAGACGAGGGGTTAACGCTCGAAACGTCAGCTTTTTTATCCATTACAGTGGCCAATTTACAATTTCAACTGAGTTGATATAACCAATCTACACAGAAATAAACACCATCGCTCGTGCGCTACTCGCGGGAAGGGTTACATGTGATCTCAGGAGTCGTGGGCTCATGGTGATCTTTAACCCCTTCGCCGGATCGAATATGTTGCCTTGGTATATTATTGCATGTATTCTAGTTTTTTTTTTCTTATTTGTATTCGTTCAACTCTAGCAGAGGCAGTTGCCACTTCTACTATGCCAGTGGAGGCTTCACCTTGTTCGACTGCAACTGGTTCTAAAGTGTCACAACAGATTTGTCCGTAGGAGGCGACGAAGGCCTCATCCTTATTACTGGAACCTAACAAGGCCTTGCAATTCTTGGTTTGAAATTCATTTCCAACGGCGTAATATCCCGAAGAGTTCTTTTATCACCAGACACGTTTGACACTTTTGGCCACTCTTCGTCATAAGCTACAAAGGGAAGACACGCAGTTGAAGAACTGCATCCCACCACAAAATGTCTTGGCCATCGGACCATATCGATCGTTTAACACATGGTGGGTCATTCGAAAATGCAGGCATTACAATGAATGTTGGTAAAGCAACTACTCGTGAAACATTTACTGCAAACCAATTGGAAGATATGGGACCTCCTGGCGTCAATGACAATGGAACAAGATTTTCCCTGAAAACGTGTCGCATAGCAGTCGCATTTTTTTATATCCCTCTGTTGAACGTTGAATAATGAGAAAACTTGGCAAAGGAAAAACCCGCAGCGA